TTTTTTTTTTTTTTTTTTTTTTGGTAATAATTAATAATTTCCACATGATTGAATAGGAAAACACAAGACTCCATTATTGAAAATAGTCAAAGTAGTAGTTATGCTATTATTTTATTCGTTGCAAAAGATAAGGTAAAATTCGAGTTTGGTATTTGATGGTCTCGACATTCTTCTGTATCTTCTACGTCATGACCATTTACCTATTTGAGTTGTTTATAAAAGTGAAGATTTGTAACCGTCCAAGCTCACTGCTAGTAGATATTGTTCGCTTTGTCTGTTACGTATCGTTGTCAGCTTCATAGGTTTAAAACGCGTCTACTAGGGAGATGTTTCCATACTCTTGTAAGTAATGCTTCGTTTCCCTCTCCAACCGATGTGGGGTCTTATAAGACTAAACCCACAAACAAACCCAAGTTATTTTAACATGTTTTGTCTTCATTCACACACTAGTTTTTAAACGTGCATACTAGGGAAATGTTTCCACAAACAAACCCGAGTCATTTTAACATGTTTTGTTTTCACTCACATACTCATTAGAAATTTTTCCGGGCTTGCTTAACTTTGAAGTTCATATGTAACTTCAACTCAAGGCTTTAAAACGCGTCTGCTAGGGGTAGGTTTCCACACCCTTATAAACGGTGTTTTGTTCTACTCCCCAACCAACGTGGGACATCACATCATATAATTGAGTTATCCAAAATGAAAGTACATTTTGTCAGTATAGACAGTAACTTCAATTCTTTTAACCGTCCGATCATGATTTTTTTTTAATTAATTTCGTTTTTTTCGTACTAAAAAATATAAATAAACAAATTAATAAAGTTTGTAATACTCGAATTAAGATATTATAATTTATTTAGAGGTAATTGGTTCGAATCTCTAATATTTTATTTAAAATATCTGAAACATAAATATTATTTTATTATGATACGGAATAAAATTAAGTAATTAGAAAATAAAAAGGGAAACAAAAGGATGGGAAAGGCAGCGTGCACATGAATCATTAACAGCCAGAAACCCCTTTTTTTAATTTTTAATTTTTTAATTAAAAAAATGAATTTTAAATTAATTTTAGAAAAAGACTGTCATTTTTTAATTAATTAAGATGAAAAATTAGTACTGATTTGGGATTTATTTTATGTATTATTTAATCCTTTGGAACGTGAAGAAATTATTTATGAAATTGTTTTGACTCAAAATCACGTGGGAAAAGCTTAAAAAATAATAATAATATTTTAAAAATTATGTGCTACTAAATATTATTTTTATTTTTATCAAAATAAATATAATTTAATAATAATTGAAAAAATATTTTTTTTCTTACTATTTTTTAAAATTTTAATTTTTTTTTTTGTATATTTTAAATATTTTTTTGAAAGATAATATATTATTAGGGCGAGAGGATCTCACAGCTTGGTAACGAAGCAACGAGAAAATAATTAATGACTAAGCTGACAAGTTGAGCAAGAAAGCAAACGAAAACGATATCAATGAAGGATATCATATACAGTGAGGAAGTTGGTAAGGCACTACTTGTCTAAGACGAGCAATTATTAGAGAAGTACAATTGGATAATGTTCAAAATAGTTTAGGGAGAGGAAGGACTCGAACCATAAAGGCGTAAGTTTCGTTCCGTCCAATTATGATGATAAGCTGTATACTAGGTTAACATGTAAACACGACGCTACGACCAACGCCACTATTAATATGACTTAATTTTATAAAATAAAATAAAAATGATAAGGAAACTCCAACGTAAGATAAAATGGGACTAGCATAGAAAGAACAAGTCACAAAACGAAGAAGAAGAGAGGCTCGAGGCCGACCATAGGGTTAGCCTTTCAAGGAGACACGAGTCATTCGTGCCCTTGGCTCTCGTGATCTTAGTTTAGCTCAATCTGTTCCATTTTTAGCTTAATTCGAAAACAAACAAAGAAAACTCTAGAAGAGTCATATCAACACACATTAGTCCTTCCCTAGTTTTTGGTCCACTGTTCCGATCATGATTTTTGTATCCCCGAAAGAAAAAGTCTTCTTTTTGGACTGTAACAGCCCAAGTCCACCACTAGCCGATATTGTCCTCTTTGAACTTTTCCCTTTTGGGTTTCCCCTCAAGGTTTTTAAAATGCATCTCCTAGGGAGAGGTTTCCACACCCTTATAAACAATGTTTCGTTCTCCTCCCCAACCGATGTGAGACATCACATGGACAATTGTGGGCAAGAAGAGAATCAAACCTCGACACTGACGTTTAAAGCTACATTCTCTAATCCTCTAAGCTACAAACCCTACCTTGTCTCCACTGAACCTATTCTCGAGAAACCCTAAAAAAAAAAAGAACATTTCCTCTCCTAGCCATTTACCATTTCGGGTTAGGAAAATAAGCTTAATTTGGGCCCTTGACACCTCCAAAAACGTGATTTCTAGGTAGATATAACTTATAAGACCAACCAGACCTATAAATTATCGATATTCGATAGATTTATACTTTCAACGACCCTCGATTTATCCATATAATTCACCAAAACAATGAAAAAGAACAAAGTTTTGATGGAACTCCACACCAAACCATGAACAACATTACCCATTGTTGCTTCATTCAAAATATTAGCTGATTTCTTGTCACAATCCCCTACCAAAATCTCACCTATTTCCACCCATTCTTCCACTCTAAGCTATGCCAATCACTAAATAAAACTCTATTCAATCACAAACCCCTTTACTTCACTCAAAATGAGGCCTAAAACACATCCTATGCACCAATTTCTCAACCTCAAAACCCTAATTTTAGCTCTTTTTCTTTCATTGTTCTTCATTTTCTTCATGAAATCTACCATTTTTGATTCATCCACACAAAACCCATCTCCAAAGTTTCAATCTTTTTCACCACAAGCTCCAAAAAATTGCACCCATTGCAACAAAATCCCTCGCTCTTTATCCCATGCCCTAATCCATTACGCCACCTCCTCCATAACCCCACAACAAACCCTAAAAGAAATCACGGTGGCAGCCTCGGTCCTCGCCGTTCGGTCACCGTGCAACTTCCTCGTCTTTGGTCTCGGTCACGACAGCCTTATGTGGGCTACGTTAAACCATGGTGGCCGGACGTTATTCCTCGAAGAAGACGAATCATGGATTCAACAAATACATCGTCGTTTTCCGATGTTGGAATCTCGACATGCTTGCTATGATAGCAAGGTCCAACAGGCTGATAGTTTGATGGATGTCGGAAAAGGATTGGAGTGTAGGGCGGTTGGTGACCCGAAATACTCTGTGTGTCAACTAGCACAAAAGGGTCTCCCAGAAGAAGTGTACGACGTGAAGTGGGATTTGATTATGGTGGATGCACCGACTGGTTACTACGACGATGCGCCGGGGAGGATGACGGCGATCTATACGGCGGGGATGATGGCGAGGAATAGGGAAGAAGGAGGAATTACAGATGTATTTGTACATGATGTGAATCGGGAAGTGGAAGATAAGTTTTCAATGGAGTTTTTGTGTGAAGGTTATATGGTGAAACAAGAAGGAAGATTGAGGCATTTTAGAATTCCTTCTCATAGGGATGAATTAGATAAACCCTTTTGCCCATTTTAATCTCGAGAATATTATGTAGGTCAGATCACGAGCAATTTGTCCATTTTAATCTCGAGAATATTATGTGGGTCAGGTCACGAGCAATTCTTATGAGATGTGTAACGATTGTGTTCTAACAAAAAAAAAAAAAAAAA